CACACACACACACACACACACACACACACACATGGGTACTGGGACAGTTCAGTGGAGCAGCAGGGCCAGTGCTCAGCTGCTTGAGACAGAATTAGAGTGACAAACAGCTGAGCTTCTCTGGGGTGCTATCATGTGACCTATCCCACCCACAGGGCCATAGGGACCCAGGCTTAGAGTTACCATGACCAATTTCTAGCGTAACCGTTGTGTGTGTGAATTTGCCTTCCTGTGTGTATTTGTGCTACATCTTTTCCAGTAGTTGACTTGTAAAGGAAATTTCTGTCTCTGCCAGGAAACGTGCTCTCCAACCTGCTAATAGCCGCACCTCTCTGTCCAACTGTCATTAACACACGCGCTGCCCTTTGTCCCTCCGCTTGTCCCAGTGACCTGCTTTTACATGCAGAGGTGTTTCTGACATAACGAGAGACCACATCTGGGGGGGTTCAACTCAGCAATGAGAACGTATCAAGCAGCCTACCTTTTTCTACAATGAAAAGAACAGCCCCCCGCAGCACATTTGGGATTGTTTAGATGTATTGTTTCCTCGCCTGCAAAATCACAGCGTGGCTGTTTTCTTTTTTCAGTGTCCGTCAGCAAAGCATGTAAGGGAGAACGAGCTGAGAGCTGCATCAGCCATTACTCCTCTGAGTCACCTGATGAAAATTCTTTTAGCAAGCCTGCACCTCCATTATTATCAACATTTTTTTCTTATAGGACTCAATAATATGAGTCCACCGGTGGCTCAGATGAGCTTAATCTCAACTACACAGTGCTGTACAATCAGTGTTACGGAGCAGGGAGGTGGTCATTTTAGTGAAAACTGTGCTTTGTAATCATAGTGGTGAGATTATTGGCTAATAAGACAAAATTAATGGCCACTTTCTGAGACATGGCTTGCAAGTGTCAAACATGTGCCTGTGTGTGTGTCCTGCATTGCCTTGAGTGTTTACAGCAGAGTAACATGAGGAGCAGATCAGCTTGTCCCGCCTACACCATAACTCTAAATGCAGAACCACAGCTGTGTTTCTATACGTACGAGGGACCAGTGTTAGAGGGAAAAATAAGTGCTTGAGGGAAGTTGTTAAATAAGCCACGAAGATTAAAAAGGAAAATAAGCAGCATGGGCATGTGATTTAATAAAAGTTAATAATAGATTGATTGATAAATCACAGGTAAAGAAATTAACCCACTTAAGGTTTGAGGCCAATGTGGAGGTCATTTGCTGCTGCCCATGTATGTGAGCAGGCTGGTGTGTGTATGTGTGAGTGTAGGTAGGGGGATGGGGTGCCACAGGAATTGGTTGTTTCAACCCCACCCTCCCAAAAAACACTGAGATCAATGTATCGGATCAATAGAAGTCATTGATAATAACTGAACTTCTCATGTGATCAGTGAAGGAGAAAATTCACCATTTCTCACAAGCATGTGTCCTGCATGCTCATCCATCACACTGAAAGTTAACAGTCAAAACCCCATGCAAATAAGATCATACACAAATGCATTCAGGAGCACGCATGCAGAATTCCATGCACACACACAGAGAGCTCTTCTCTGACACTGCATGATAGGTCACTTTTTCCCTCTCTCTCCCTTCCTGCTGAAATAGTTTTAACAAAAGAGAGGGAGAAGACAGGGGGAGGGGTGGTGTGGTTGGGGGAGGGGATGTATGTGCTGCTCTGTTGTCACTAGGCTGGGGAGAGAGCGAGAGGGGGGAGGGAGAAGGGAGCTGGAGGGCGAGCGAGGGAGGGTAGGAGCAAAGGATAGGGTCCCAGAAGCGAGTAGAAGCCTCACACACACATACACACACTCACTCACAGAGACGCTCATGTAGGCTCCCTCTGTTTTACTTTGTGGAATAGTAGTGGATTACTTTCCAAATTGAGCCACTCATTGAGCAGAGCATGATCAGGTCAGTAACCGTTTACTCACTTGTTGAACAAAAAGATTGTGTTTATCTCCGTTCAACAGCAATGACAATGATTCTGCTGCTTCTTGCACATTCCTGTCTTGTTCACTCTTCTCCATTCTCTCTATCTGTGATATGACCTCTTCTATGTGTTTTCCCATTCTACATGCTATAGTTTGTTCTTTTTACACATATGCATGACATCTTCATTAGTTTGTCCTCTATATGTCAACTTACACACTCATTCTTCATGTTTTTTTCCTTGTGTGGGAGAACCCCCCCATGTCCTGCAGAGAGTACAAAGTTCTTTTTTGCTGTTGTGGTTTGTAGTATGTGTTGAAACGTGGGTGGCTTCAAAGAATTAGAAACTTGTCTTCGCTGGCCTTGCGGTTGAGTGGTCAGAGGGTAAAAGCCCCCCTCACACATGCAGGCAAATGTGCATGTACATATAGACACATGGGAACGCTGAGAAAAGCAAAAGCAAGATAACTCAGAGTGCACGAGAAACAATCAGGTCAATATAAGATGCTTTCTGCAAGTATTTCCACACAGTGACAGTATAGTTTATTCTTAAAAGGAATTGATGCAATAAAGTGAGATCTTTTTTTGTACACTGCTTGAATGTCCTAGTATCTAGCTGTGAGTGACGTCAATCAAAATATACAATCAAGTCATACTACGTGGTGTCTGCTGGCTCTGATGCTGGGATGTGTGCTTTTTTCAGTTGGCAGCGTGTCGGAGCAGCGTTGAAGTGTGAGATGAACCATGGAGGGGTGCAGGAGGCCAGTCACTAACCGAGCCAGCAGCAGCCTCACAACCACCACCGCCAGCAGCAGCAGGAGAAGCAGTAGCCCAGGGAAGTCCCGGAGCATGCAGCTGGGCTCTCACTAGCACCAAGTGGACCCAGTCCTCTCCTCTTCACCTGGGGGCCAGGGCTGCAGAATGCTCAGTCCTGTCACCCCTTACAGTAAGTGTGCACTGATTTTATCTACACGTGTGTACACACCCTGTGCTTGGATGTTGGATTAATGTATCATTTCCCAAAACGGGGCTCATAAGATCTGATACATGCGCAAACCCTGACCCAGCTGGGCTCCAGTGTGGTTTCCTTCACACCTTTATCTTTTGACCCCTCTTTTGTCCAGGACTCATCTCCTGTGGCTGTGTAGAGGGAAGCAAGGGGCTGGGGGGG